GTGGCGTAGTGCCTAAGGCATTTGATTGCTAACCAGAAGGCTGGCGGTTCAAACCCACCAGCCACTCCTCGGAAGGAAGGTCGGGCAATGTACTTCCGTAGTGATAGCGTCTCGGAAACCCAAGGAGGAGTCACTACGAGACAGATCCGACTCGACGGCAGTGAGTTTGGGTTTTTGGTTAGGCATTCAAAAGAGCTCTGGTGGTATAGTGGTTAAGGCATTTGGCTGCTAACCAAAAGGTTGGTGGTTCAAACCCATCAGCTGTTCTGTGGAAGAAAGATGGGGCAATGTGCTTCCATAAAGATTTACTGCCTTGAAAACCCAATGGGGGTTGCAATGAATTGGAACCAACTGGATGGCAAATGAGTTTGGTTTGGTTCGAGGCATTGAAAGTAGTGGGGCCAGAAGAGCAGGGAGCCTGTGCCTTATGCTAACATTTTACTGGGCTTCACTTTGCAGGTATCATTCCTTGGAATGCTTTCCCGGGGAAAATATGTGGTTCTGCCCTGGAGAACATCTGCAACACAAATGAGGTAAACCCGGTGCAGGCCAGAGGGCTACAGCATCACTTCGTAGATGAGGCTGAGAACAAACACTCTCCTAGGTAGAAAAGCCAGAGGCAAGGCTACAGCGCTTTGAAGGACAGCTCTTGTGCATAGTCTTTAAGACCAAATTGTATGTAATCATCACTCTTCAGCCATTTTTGACCTACAAAAATGGCCTTTTCGTATGGTCCGACCCATTTGTTGAGCGTCTGTAGGAATCACATTTTTCCTTTTGGTGACGATTTGGGAGTCATGCCAAACTCCAAGACTGGAGCTGGATCTAGATTCTTCCCTTTCCCTTCAGAAAGTTTTCCAAACTAGAACATCTGTCACAGAACCAATGTAATTAACTTTCATGGCAAAGATTGCCCTGAATGTGCACAAAAGAGTTTTCCATAAAGGAAGGCCCAGTGAATCACTTATGCCTCCAAAGGGATTGGCTGCTTTTTCTCATCCAGCCTTAGTAGCCTGTACATCTTAACACTTTGGTTTAAAACCTCTTGGTCTTAGAATATCCTTCAGTCATTGGCTTATAACTGTTCCTAAAACAACATTCTGAAATGCTCCGTGGCAGTGTGCATATTTAAGAAGATCCTAAGAGACTTTTGGACAACAACGAGTGAAAGTCGATGTGTATATTCGTAACATGGATCAGCTCAAAGCAGGGCTCCCACCCTTTGCTGCACACTGCAGGCATTGAGGGAGCCTTACAATGTGCTGATGGCCAAGGCCCAGCTCCTGGTCGTCAGATTTGGCAGGTCTGGTGCGGCCCGGGCATCAGAGTTTTACAGGCTTGTCCAGGTGATCCCGGTGCACAGCCCGGCCTGAGAAATGGGCTTGCAGAGAGCACGCCTGCACCCAGCCTTGCAGAGAAGAGCTGCAGCCCCCTGGACGGGGTAGGTAGGCCATTTCATTCTGCATCCAATGCTCATGTCACTGCCCTGTTCCTTCCTAGTTCTACATGTCCTATCACCTGTTCATTGTGGCCTGTGCGGGAGCTGGTGCCACCGTCATTGCCCTGGTGAGTAACGGCCCCAGGACTGTCCTCACCTAGCGCCCCCTTCCTCCAGTGTCTGTAATGACAGATTTCCCTTTCAGCTCTTACCAACCACCTGAAGCAAACAGCCCTGGCACTCAGCACTGGTTAAATGTCACCTCTGTAAACGTAGCACACGCTCAGGTTTGCAGGAAGTATGGGTTGGCTTTCCTGGCCCAGATTTGTAGGTGCTGTCATTTGGATTCTGGGGAAAGAAGAGAGGGTAGCGCCCAGGTCCCTGAGCGCCTGTTGAGTAGGGCTAGTGTTGTGCTTTGTTGCAGTCAGCCCTTAGTGCCAGAACTTCCAAAATGGACAGATGCTCTCTTGAGGCACTGCCCGTTTCCTTGCCAAGGATTCCTAACTTCCCAGTGGCAATGTTCACCTGTATATATGTATATATACACACACAGAGACACATGTGTTGGTACGTGTGTGTCTGTCATCTCGGGGCTGGCTTTGTGATTTGAAGAAATCCAACTAAGACTGGTAGAGCAGGGGGCAGCTGGGAAACTAGTCATTGCCCATTTTTCCAATCATAAGTCATTTCTCTTCCTTACGGTTCGTGAAAACCAACCAACTAACCAGAAACCAAGCCCGTCAGATCTCAGCGGCCACAGGCTGTGGCTGCAGCTCTGAGCACAGCGCCAGGCAGGAAGGGGCCTGACCCAGCTGCCCAGGCCCTTGAGAAAGATGCAGGGACACGAAGAGCAGCCAGCGGCATCTTGCTCCTGCTGCTGCCTCAGGTCTCAGTCTTGCCCTTCAGCCGTACCCAAGTCTTTTCATAAACTCAGACTCTCAGAGGGCAGAGCCAAGGACTTGTATTGGGAGAGAAGAGTCGTTTGAGTGTGCTAAAGATGAAAACCTTCTGTTGATTGGCTAAGTGGGGGAAAGACACTCCGGTGGGCAATGGCCCGGCAGCCCTCCCCACCGCACGTAGACGCGCCGGGCCTCGGCCCTCACTGCCTCTATCTCACCGTCCTGTTTTGTTCTCTTCCACCAGCTGATCTACATGATGGCTACTACCTATAACTATGCGGTTTTGAAGTTTAAGAGTCGGGAAGATTGCTGCACTAAGTTCTAAATTGCATAAGGCCAATAAGGAGCTTTAGAGAGCTTTGCTCTGTAGCGAGAAATCTCACTGACACTCTAGACTAAACCAGAGCTAGGTTTCTGCAGTTTTGTTACAGTAATTTGTAAATAGCTTTAGTAAACTCATTTCGCATGGTAGAGTAATAAAACGACTTACTGTCCACGAGTTACACAAGAATGAGATCTGGCTAATTCCACATTTTGAAAAGGATCAGTTACTCACTGACACTGGTGAGCGGTCGTGGTGAAAAGGATTGTCTTGCACTTAAACTTTGAGCTGTGTCTCTAAATGCAGTATTAAAACTTCTGAAGGCTCGCATCTCCCCTTAGTTTTGCTTCTTGATAACCGATCGCAGGGAGGAAAATGAAAATGCGGGCTGCAAATGAAACGGAGAACCACATTAACGTGGGTTTTGTTTTGTCACTCTTTTCCTGGGAGACTTTTGGCAGATTTACATTTGGTTTTTTTTTTTTCTAACACGTGTGGCCACATGGTTCGTAACCAAATAAATGAGGCTAGACTATGGCAGATGAAAATTTGAAGACAAAGAAAGAATAGCCACCCATTTGTTTGACATGTGGATTCTGTGCACGACACAATCACCCCTTTAGAGCCCTTAAATCGCTGGGTTTGGTGAGTACTAACTGATTCCTTACTCTCATAGCCATTTCTCAAACCGCACGTAAGAGTTTAATGGGAAGAGAAGTTGTGCCTGGATCGGAACGTCTCAAATATGTTGAGAAGGAAGTATGAACTGTCAGGAACTGGAGATGTAGATTAATTTAGCAGGAAGTATTGAGGAACATAAACGGGAAAGAAGCAAGCGTTTGCTGCATCAACTGTAAAGAATGATAATAAGGATTTTTCCATTTTGTGAAATGCAAAACTGGCAGTTATAAAATGAAAAATGTAGTCCCACTCCTAAAAATGTGTTAACCCAAAGATTGCATGCTTTGCTTCTAGTTCTTAATTTTGGGTTTTACATTCATTTAATTTTCCCATGCTAAATATGTAGTCTTTTTTTTTTTAATTATTATTATTTACCCAAAATAAACATTGTTCACACATTTAGGCCTTTGGGAAAATTTATTTTCCACCACAGGTAGAAAAGATCTTTGCACTACACTTGTTTAAAAAATAAAACCACGTGTTTCTGAACTTCTGCACTAGTCTTTGAAATTACTCTCAAATGGTAAAAAGCACCCTCTCGTATTTCATTATTGCTTTTTCCTAACAGTAACTTTGGCCATTTGTTTTTTTAAAAGTTCATGATGTTTGTATACTAACGTTTCTTCAGCCTCTTAATATTAAGCAAAGGAGTAGAGAGCATGCTTTCAGTACTTGACTCCCCCGATGGCAGAACAAGTATTAATACAGAATAACCTCCCCGTCCCCTTTTAAAGTCCAGACCGTCTAACCTGACTAGCAGCTGCTTTGCCTTCTGACATGCTCACTAGCCATCATGCTCACCCTTCTCTTCCAGATCCACTTCCTCATGATACTGTCTTCTAACTGGGCTTACTTAAAGGACGCAAGCAAAATGCAGGCTTACCAGGATATCAAAGCAAAGGAGGAACAGGAACTGCAAGATATCCAGTCTCGGTCAAAAGAACAACTCAATTCTTATACATAAATGTTTGCCAGAGTGTTTCCGCCGAAGAGTTTGCCACTCTGACAAATCACCAGACAGCTGCTCTGCAGTACAGATATGTGTCCCCCAAAGTCCCGTAGAAGCCCAGACACATCACTGTCTGTCTCACGCTGCTGGGATGTATTTCTAGGAAAGCCTTCCAGTGGGTAAATCTTTTCCTTTAGAACAGATATTGGAGGTTTCATGTTAGCCATTTTAAAAGGCAACACTTTGACCAAATGATGGATTCATCCTTTTGAAATTGGTGGCATGTTCACACTTAGGACTAGGGCAGTCATACCAAGACAGGCCATGAGATAAATCATGCTCCTTGATAGGGACCTGCAATGTGCCAACATCAAGGGATGTGACCACAAACTCACATGTGCCCCCTGCCCTCCAATCAGTGTATTCATACAGGAATCACACGGAGGCTCCATTTCTGACAGCTGACATTTATTACATTTGGGCTCATCAAAGATAATGTGATTCTTACAATTGACTTTTTTTTTTTTTTTTTTTTAATTAGCTGACTGTGTTTTTCCCCAAGTTCAGGACACGTGAATTTCCTGAGCAGATCACAAGCCCACTTTTCAATAATGCTAAAATGAGCTACTCTAATTCTGCCTGACCTACTGCTGAGTGAGCTGGGCTCTGACTCATTGACAAGCTTCTGGAATCCATTTTATGATAGATTTCCTTTTAATAAAATGGTAATGACGCAGTCATGGTCGTTCTTCTTGGGAAATAAATGTCAGCTCTGCCTTAATGAGTATTTGCTTTAAATTTCTACAAGTTTATATTGCAATGGGAGACCCTGACTCCTTCACAGAATTTTGTTCCATCAACGCTTTTCTTAATTAAGAATAAGAAGTGTTACCTTATTAAAATGACCACCATCCGACTCCATTCCTAAGTGGTCTGGATATAGTGAGTTTACAGTTTCATACCAACTATCTAAAGCCTAATTACAAATAGACCACAGACCTCCTACTTTTATAGACTTGAATACTTAAGTAATTTAAATTAGGGTATTTATTTCGCTTTTTCATCTCTAAATCTTAGTTTCCTGGAATAATAATAATAAAGCTCAATGTTCAGTGAGAAAACTGCTTGAGTTTAAGCCATTTGCAACAGAAACTTGCCTTCTAAATCACGTGTTCCAGAACGTTAAGTGACTCTCTAGGTATGGGTATTAGTGGTGGTAAACTTTGTGTTGTTCTTTATGAAATGATACATATAACCGTCGGGTGCATCAGTGCTTTTCAAAGGGGCTGCATTATCTAGTTAACCATGTATATTCATGTTAAGAGTTAACTTGTGGTTTGGCTGTTTCCTGGATTTTAAAACATATACGTGTGCAGAAATGTATGAAAATGAAAGGAAGCATACCTTTATCAAAATGCTATTAAAACTGAACCTTCCTCAAGTATGATTATTTCATTTGAATTCTTTCTTTGGTTAATGCCTACATGCCTATTTGGAACTTTCTGGTGTTTTCCTTGGGAGCAGCTCTCTTCTGTGTGGAACCGTTGCTCCGGAGTAGCTTAGTGCTTTGGTTTCCTGTTGCATGACACACTTCTTCAATGTTCTTTCCAGCAGTGGAGGTGCTGTTAGTGTCCCGTGTTCTAGAAGAGACAGTGTCTAAAGCCGAATTTTACTTTTCTAATTCTGGTAGCCATTGCCAGGAATTTTTGAAAGTTTTGTTGAAGTAGTCTAATATTTTTTATGTAAAGAGCATTAAATTTTGCTATGTATAAATTTTTGTAACCTAACAGTGAATCAATATTTTCTATCAGTGCCAAGGGCTTCCTGTAGTTCTATTCAAGTGTTACAATAAATATTTGTAGATAATAGTCAATACTCGTGTATGCTTATTTTAAAGATCTATTTAGGTGGAAACACTTGTGGATGTACTGAGAGTCATGCAATAAAATGATAGCTTCATTCACTTGCCTTTTTACCATACATAGATCTGATCTTTCTTTGTCCTCGGTGTGGTGTCACTTTTGAACGCTATGCGTAATCGTGATTTCAGATTTGAGTGGAAATCAAGTCTGCAGGAGAGTGCCACGTGTTTCTTTGCTGACAAAAATCGACTTTCCAAAACAACCAAACTCACTGCCGTCGAGTCAGTTTCGACTCATAGCGACCCCTCCTTGGGTTTCCGAGGCAGTATTCTATGGAAGTCAATTGCCCAATCTTCCTTCTGAGGAGTGGCTGGCTGGTGGGTTTGAACCGGCAGCCTTCTGATTACCAGTCAAATGCCTTAGGCACTACGACTTTAAGCGAGAGCAATTTCAGAAAAGATTGTAACCCCCCATTAGCACTTTCTACTTTGGTGGGGAAAATACACAATTTTTCTGGCTAGCTTCTTGAAAAACTAAAAGCCATATACCTGGGGGATTAGCACAAGGCTTCAGCTTTACCAGAGCATAGGGAAGGGCACAAGTGATTGAGATTTATTTTGTAAGGGTCGATGTCCCATGGCTATTTTATAAACCCAAAGTATAAAAAGGAGCTCTGGTGGCACGGTGGTTAAGGCATTCAGTGGCTAACCAAAAAATCAGCAGTTCAAACCCACCAGTTGCTCCTCAGGAGAAAGGTGTGGCAGTCAGCCTCCACAAAGATTGACAGCCTTGGAAACCCTTGGGGGCAGTACTATGCCTGGAAGGTTGCTGTGAGTCAGAATTGACTCAATAGCAGTGGGTTGGTTGGTTTTTTATCTTTTTTATAAGTAAGTATAAAACTCTATGAGAAAGGTGAATTATGATACATACAAAATCTAGATCTAACAGTTACTCCGTAAAACAGAAGTGAGTTACTTGGGATTTCATTTCCCAATCTGTTCAAACCATGGAGCTGTCAGCATGATGGCTGCTGGGATTCTCCCATAGCTGTCACTATTCCCACACTGACATTTCCAACCAAGGTGCCAACTTGGATCCTCCCCCTTCAGTCAGGCCAGCCGAACAATCAAGAACCCAGTTAGTGTGCTGTTTTTCACACTAAGATCTGTTTATGTAGCATTTTGTGCAGTCTCTTCTTATGTTACACAGCCACCTAAAGACACTGAAGTGGGTAAAATACTGGCCAGGTAAGATCAGTCTCTTAACTGACAGATATCCTGCCACAAAACAGAAAAACTTCTTGAGCATGGAGTAGAGATTTCTCCATTTCTACAGAAATGTAGCCCTCCCTTGTGAAACCGGACTTTGAAGAGAGAAAGCGAAGAATCAGGGAGCAGTGAGCCTACTCATTTGAAAACCAATGTGTGAGAATACCTCAAGTCTATTCATTGAGAGGGAGCTCTGGTGGCATAGTGCCTAAGGCATTTGCCTGCTAACCAGAAGGCTGGTGGCTCAAACCCACCAGCCATTCCTCGGAAGGAAGATCAGGCAACCTACTTCCGTAGAGATACCGCCTTGGAAAGCCAAGGAGGGGTCATTCTGGGTCGAAACCGACTTGATGGCAGGGAGTTAGGCTTTTTTGGTTTTATCCATTGAGAAGTGGCCTGGATTCCACGGTAATAAACTCAGATTCCTTTAGGGCTTTTGAAGGATCTGGTGGCCGGTGCACGGCTGCAGAGGCAGCCCACTCAGTTACATACATGAGGTGATCTTTCTCAAGCTAGCGCAGGGCCAACTGGGTCGCAAATGTTTGGCAACAATTACTCATTTTCCTTACAGGAACTTTCTCAAAATGATTAGAAGAAATTCAATTACACAAAGTTTTGAGGAAACCAAGGTGGGGGGCACAAGAGAGGACCCAGCTCTCTGCATCAATGTGTATCCAGATGCTGCCGCTGAGGCGAGCGAAGGGCGGGCTTCTCCTCCGTTTCCGGTTGACCAGGGAAAACAGGGAAGCGATGAAGACCCAAGCTAGATGTTTACGTTGTTACCCAGACAAGGGCTTTGAAAACACAAAAGGGATGGGGAGCTAATAAGCACTATGAGAAAGTGTTAGTTATTTGAGGTGGGGTAGAAACAAACAGTGCCAAACTCTTAGTAGCAATATGGTATCCAGACGAGGTTTCCTTAAATTACTCTCAAAGGGGTGAAGTCAGTGTGAAACATGAGTGTGCTATAAGCCCAGGAGTAACACACCAAAACCCCATCCCCTTCCCACTTCGTTATGTAATTCAAGGGACACACCAACATCCCGGGTGAAAACCATTCAGAACTGTGAAGGGGAATGAGCTCCCAGAACTTGCCAGAAAGGCAGACGGCACAAAGCCTTTCCGTGTTCGCAGCTGAGCAGCAGGGGTTCAGCACCGGGCCCCGTTCAGCACCGGGCCCCGTTCAGCACCGGGCTACCTGGGACGGCCACCCCAGCAGCAACTCGCTGTGTGCTTCTGAGGGCTGTACTGGCAGCATCGTCAGAGAAACCTGCGGTGTTCCAACAAGCGAGACTGACTCGAGAGCTGCCAGTGTACACAGATGGGGGACGGGGAGCACATGAGTCCCCTCTGGGAGCTGCTGGATACAAAGGTGGGGGGGGTGCCCACAGGGCCCCCTTCCCTCCGTGCCAGCACTGCTAGTGCTGCTGCTCCCTCCGTGATCCAGATTTGGCTGAGGTATGGCTTCTAAAGGTCATTCTGGAGTGAGACATCCCAGGAGGTTATCGGCGACCCATTAAAAGTCCTGGGACGTCTCACCTGGGTCTTCCAGAATAGGGTGTGGCAGTATTGGTGTCTGGATGCTGGAGTAACGTCCTGGCTCTCTGAGACTTCATGGCTGCAAGACTGATCAAGTCATTAGCCTCTGCGCCTTACGTTTCCTACTCTGTAAAGTGTGGAAAACATTTTACGTGGCTAAAGTGAGCATTAAATGAGTTATTACACATCAAGGGGTTAAACCTGTACCCAGCACAAAATACTCAATACCCATCATCTTGGATTTTTATCACCATCTAGAAGAGTTTGTGTTGATTCTCAAGAAAAAGACAGTAAAAGTAAAGACCAGAGGTGATATTGTACTATTTCTAGAGCCTAGAATGGACAAACCTGTGTCTGTCTGCTCAGGGACAAGAAAAGGAAGAGAGTGCTGTGGAAGAAGGTGGCTTTGAAGGGGTGGTCCAAGTCTAGAGGAGAAGGAACACAGGTACAACTTCGCAAAGATAGGCCTGGAGTTTAACCAACAAGGTAAATTTCCAAAGAAGTGTACCCTAAGACATATATGTTAAAAAGAAAACAAAAAAGCAACTCAAAAAAGTGTAAGAAAGGCCTATGAATGAGGAAATGTACGGCTGGTGAGAGGTGCCAGTAGACTGTTCTCCATCCGTAACCTACAATTCCAAACAGAGTTAGGGAGAAAAATCAGACGGGGTGACACATTCAATCTTTATTGATGACTTTGTCTTGTCACAAAGCACAGGCCTGAACGTTCTGTAACTTTTCACTGCTGTAAGCAGCTGGGCCACAAACATTATCACCAAAAGTCATCTGGTTCTTCGTGAGACAAGCCTGTGAGACTAAATTAAAAGAAAGACAAAAATTCAAAGTATTCTCATCAAGCTTATTCAGGGCTCCTCAGGATGTGCTCCACCCCCCACAGGGCTTTCTGGCCCAGCTTACTACTTCTACCGGGATCAATTTCACAAGTTAAAAAATGCCAACCAATTGTGGTTTTAAGTCAGTCATTTTGAATGACTGAATAATTTCTTACCAAAAACCAAACTCACTGCCATTGAGTCGATTCCAACTCACAGTGACCCCCATTGGGTTTCTGAGGCTGGAAATCTAATCTTTATGGAAGTAGATTGCACCATCTTCCTTCCATGGAGGGGCTGGTGAGCTTGAACCACCAACCTTCTGGTTAGCAGTCAAATGCCTTAGGCACCACACCACCAGAGCTCCTAACTTCTTAGAGGCACCCTCAAATGCTTGAAAGCTTCCCATGGCTAACAAAACCAGCACCATGATGATGGTTCGTGTGAGGACCACCATATGTGGGAAAACCATACCTTTCATCTTTGTCACTAGATGGCAGCATGTCCAACGGTGTGTCTTCTCTGATGAGGTTCTTTTTTGAGCTCTGATCCACAGAGGGGGAAAGGACAAATTCAAAATGACATAAGCACCAATTGTATAAACACTTTAGGATTTCTCTGAAAACTATTTTTTTAAAAAAATATGTATGTAATTTAAGAGTCTCAAAAGAGGAGACTTTTGAACTGTAAATTTAACGAGCATATTTAAGTTACACAGTTAGGCATTCTGAACAGCCACAGGACTTCGGACTCCTGTCAAACGTTCATCACGCAGACAGGTGATCTCCAATCCTGGAGAGATTGTACATTATGTCTTTCTTATTCTTTTGAGCAACAAGGAAATCCCAACTTTTATAAACTCTTACAAATCAAAATAGTTAAATCAGTTACCCAAGTAAAAACTATGAAATTCTGTTGAAAGAGTGCAGTATATTTAAGACAGCAGGCTCCCTTTGAACTTGGGATTCTTCTACGATTTTACTGTCTTCAACGGAGAAGGCAGATTCCTTTCCCAGGGGTTTAAAATAACTCCCGAGAAGCCTCCCCATCCCCAGCCCAGAATGCCCCTCCCACAGCACCTTGTCTGCCGAGTCCTGATCGTGTGCTTCCTGGATGATCTTCATGTATTTCTCTAACGGATTTTCAGCACCAGCAAATTTGTCTTTAACTTCTTGAACACCTGTTTCTAATTCTTTTTCCATTTCAATCATCAGTGATTCTTCAATCATCCTCTACAAGATAGATGGGTGCCACAAAAGGAAAGAAACAAAGCCATTATAGCAACCTGTGTTTAAAAGCACACGGGAATAAACTCTAGTCCTCCGAGTACAACGAGCATGCCAGAGAACCATAGATATTTTTTTTATATTCAAGTCATTGCTACCATTCAAAGGAGCTCTGGTGGCGTGGTCCCTAAGGCAGTTGACTGCTAACCAGAAGGTTGGTGGTTGAAACCCACCTGCTGCTCTGTGGAAGTAAGATGGGGAAGTCTACTTCCATAAGGATTTACTGCCTCAGAAACCCAAATGGGGCACTATGAGTCAGAGTCGACTCGGTGGCAGTGAATTTTCTACTTCCATAGAGATACTGCCTCAGAAACTTACGGAGGGGTCACTACGAGTCGGAATTGATTCAACAGCAGTGAGTTAGTTTGTTTTTGTTTTGTTTTGGGGGGTACCATTCACGGGAAACAAATAAGCTATCTAACGCACTCCAAACCAAACCCACTGTCATCAAGTCGATTCTGACTCATAGCAACCCTACAGGACAGAATAAAACTGCCTCATAGGGTCCCCAAGGCTGTAAATCTTTACGGAAGAAGACTGCCTGCAGAGTGGCTGGTGGGTTTGAATCACCGACCTTTTGGTTAGCAGCCAAATGCTTTTATCACAGTGCCACCAGAGCTCCTTTATGTAACCGAAAGAAGGGATTAATTTCTCTAAAGTATCCTGTGATGTGGACCAAGTGGACTAAGTGAACCCGCAGTCCAAGGGACATTCACACAGGAGGTCAGTGTCATTAAGACTTGAGCAGTGTGCTAAAGTGGCTGGAGTGACCCACCTGTCTGCATCCAGAATCAGAAACAGAAGGCAGGAGAACATGGGGAAAGGCAGTCACCTCATCAGACTGTCCCTAGCTCTGGTCCCCACTAGCTGCTTAGCCAGGTCTCTTCCTTAAACTCCACCTAGAAAGGGAGGCACGACAGCAAAGCAGAGCCCACCTTCTTTTCAGCCTCACTTTCAGATTAAGTGCCAAAGCGCTTGCAAAAACTGTATGGTGAACTCAAGAAGCGAGAAGCAGGCTTTCCAGAAGCTGTCTCCACTCCTGTAACAGGACACACTGCTGACTAAGATTAAGGTACTGAACATGTACAAGGCTGAAACCAGTACAGAGAATCACAAAGCCCACTGCCATCGAGTCAATTCTGACTCCCACCGACCCCATGCAACAGAGCAGAACTGCCCCATAGGGTTTCCAAGGCTGTAATCTTTGTGGAAACAGACGGGCACGTGTTTCTCCTGCAGAGCAACTGGTAGGTTTGAACTGCCAACCTTTGCGTTAGCAGTCCAATGCTTTAACCACTGCACCGCCAGGGCTCCTCTACAGAGAATTAAGCCACACAAGTCACCCTTTCTTGTTCCAGTTTCTCTAGTTCTCGTCGCTCCTGTTCTAAAGCTGCTTGTTCACGCTGCCTTCGTTCCTCTTTCTGTCTTCGTTCTTCTGTGGGCTGTTCCCGTAGGTCTTCTTCCTCCTTGGGTTCGCCAATTTGTTCCTGATCTACATCTAATAGGATAGAGAAGAGACCTTAAAGAGCTTTCAGCATCAGATTTCTCAAACAAATAAGGGACCAGTTTGCAGGGGCCCACACTAAGACTCGGGAACTTTCCTGTTGATTCTTAGCAGACGGCTGCCCTCCTTCCAGCTGCTGCTCCATTTTCGTTGCCTCCACGTCCCCAGCCCCATTCCTAGCACTGCAGCTGCCTTTCCCTTCACTGAGATGGATATTGCCCTCCTTGGCAGGAACCATTGCGATGGTCCTCCTGACCACACCACCTGCCCACCACCTGGACTTCCACCTCTGCCCAACTACGGTTCCCCCCCCCCGGCTCTAGGACCCAGACTTAACCAGTACCCCTGTCTATTTACAGAACAGCTCGTTCCTCTTCCTCCTACAAAGGTGCTTAAGTCTCTCCTCCCTAGAACAAACCCCAGCACCCTGCTCCATCCGCGGCCCTGGCCATTTTATTGCCCGGCCCACACATCCTTCCTGGGGTTTTAGCTACCACTCGGCACAGGTCACTCCTATGTCTTTTTCGCTAGTCCCGATTTTCCCGATTCTTTGGTCCTTGTGTCTGGTGGGTTCCCTGCCGTGAGCACAGAGATATCCCCATACCTGAGGCTATCATTACTGTCCCTTTCATCACCCACTTTCTACTCTCTGTCCACATGGCCACCAAGGCACACAGGTTCCACCTCCTTTTGCTGTAATTAGGGTTCTTATCACCAGGGCCCTGGACCCGCGGAGAGAACCCATCCCATGGTCCCCTGACATTAAGCATTCCACCTCCATTAGCACCAGTGGCATCTCCTGAAGGGAAGACGTGGGTTTGCTATGTAATGCCACAGCTCTGCTGGAGTCCACATCAAGGCAGCCTAGGCTCTGACAACCTGCCTGGAACTTTGCTTCCCAGATTTACTTCCTACACGGCCACAACTTGGCACTCCAAAGAATCGACTCTATCCCATCTTCCCTGTTCCCCCACCTGTGGCCTGTGGTACCCTCGCTCTGGGCCTTTGCTCTCTCTGTCTCCTAAACTGGACATGGTCCCTCCCCACCATCTGCCTACAAAGTCCAACCTGCTCTTCAAGTCCAAACTGAAATGCCACCTCCTCTGGGAAGTCCTCCTGATACCTGAAGTGACAACTGCTCCTGCACCATACTCATGCAGAATTTTGAACCTGTCTTGTCAGAAACCAAGTACACCTGCTTCTCCCACTTCTGTGCCCCATGGGCAAGGCCCAGGTCTTATCAATCTGTCTTTTCCCTACAGCTCTTAACCCAGGTGCCCACACGTCAGAGAAGTCACTAAATCTCACTCCCACATATGCTTTATCTGACCAATGCTGAATCTGGCTCCAGTCTATGCCCTAAACTTATTCACCCAAGCAGACAAATAAGCAGGCCAATTCACAGGTTTGCTAGCAGGCTTTGAGCCTTTTTGCTGCGGCTTGTTCAAGAGTCACTAGCGCTGGTTTTACTGACAGGAGAAAGGCAACAGTGGCCTCTCTCTTGATCCTTGCCCCAAAATGAAAAGTGCTAGGTCCAAGTGCATAGTTAGTTTAGAAAGCAGGTGGCCTGGGAGGACTACATGAGAAGCCTGGCCTGCACATTGTCTTCCTTGGCAGTATCTTCACATGTTCAAATGGGGAACTGTCAAAGAAAAGCAACAAACACTGGTAACAGCCTACCCACAAAGCTCCATAATCTCTGCTTACAAAATGGCTTCCAGGGCTCCCTGTAGCCACATCTCCAGGGTTCAAACAAACCCACCTCACCTGGGTACTGCTGTGAGACAGGCCTGGCGGGCATGGTGGCCAAGGTGGTGTCATCCACGTGAGGCAGATCCCCCACCAGGAGTGGCCCATCCACTTCACATCTACTTGGCATGTCTCCTATAGCTACACAAGGGCAAAGAATTGTCCCATGAGTCCTTAATGACAAAGGTCAAGGAAGGGGTGCTGCACAGGGTAGGGTAACTGCCCAGCTCCTGCACATCTGCAAAGCAACTAGGGAGCCCACACCTTACAGGCATCTCCAAGTTGTCATCAGACATTTGGCAATGTATTTACTTTTCCAAATGTTTTCAGACTCGAAAGAATCAGTAAATGTACAATGTGAGGTTCGATACCCAGCAGGACATGAAGCCAATGACAGAAAAAACTGAACACGGATGGCTGATAAACAGCGGAATCCTATTTCAATAGAAATGGCTTCTCAAAAGTTGTCCTTTCACTGGCAAATCATTTGTAAAATGTACTAAGCCCTCTAAGTATTCCAAACAATACAGTCTCAGACTTGACAGTGACGTTTACGAGGCTAAGGGATAGGTCAGATGCAAACAGAAAGAGTTGGCAAACTGGACAGTTCCAAGATGACCGACTCCACACCTCTGTCTTACAGTGAGCCACCTGAAGCATCGGGCCCTGGCAGGATGTCAGGCCCCAGCAGGATGCCAGCTTCCGGACTCCTCTGCCAACATTCTTTCACCTCCCTTCTTACACTAAGAGCGGGCTTTTCTAAGTCTGGGGAAATCAACAGCATCAGTATACTCTATAGAAATATCACAATAATGTCATATTGCAGAAAGAGGAAAAAGAAATTTTTAAATCACGTATTGTAAATATGAGGGAATCCAAACACTGGTCAATTAAGTCCACCTTTTGTCCTTTCTCCAGTAACCTGCAGGAGTCATTCACGGGCTCAACTCTACCTTTTAATCAGTTACCCTGACATTTAATTTTTAAAAAACAGAGCATAGACTCACCCCTGAAAAGCATCATGATATAAAACAGAGGGGAGAAGTCGGCCTTCAGGGTTTTATCACCACATTAAAAACGTCTTCATTGCAATCACTTTTCCTTTTATGACAATGGGTCTGTCTCACCCAAATGACACTTTCTACATTTCCAACTTCCACAAACTGGCACTGACGTTTGAACTTACATTCCAAAGACAAATCAGGTTCCTCGTTCTCCTGAGAGGTGAGCTTGGCCAGGCTTGCCAATGTACTGCCGTCCTGCAGTTCCACTTGTCTTTGAGAAAGACTAGATTGGAAGAATGGAATCTGTGAGCGTAGGGTTTTAATCGCATCAAACCTGAGAGCACAGTGTGGCAAAATGCCATTTGTAAATCAGGAAAATGCTTCACAAAATTTGTTTCTCTTCAGTTTATAGAGAGCAGCAGCTGTAGCACACCATGCATGAGCCACACACCAGGCACGGCTCTGAGTGATTAATATCCAGTGACTCGGTTACCCCTCAGAACCACCTTATGCTGAGGGGTAGGTATGACTACTGTTTGCAATGAATAATAGAGCACTCTGAGTACCATTCCCTAGGAGGAGTTTGTTTTCTCAATAGCCACAACATTTCTAAAAGAAACGAATTCTGCACAGCATCACCACAAACCAGCCAGCACCGCAATCCAAGGAGCCCAACACATGCGCCTCATGCATGGGGGAGTCTTATCTTTCTTAGTGGCATGGTTACCACAAAGCACAGCCTAAACACAGGATGTTTGCAGGACTGTAATAGGCCTGTGCTGCACTTCTCACCTTTGTGAGTGGGACTGCTCTAACACATGGATGCCCAGGCTGAAGCCTGGGGCTGAGTGAGTCAGAGGCCCGCAGTGGGGGCCAGTCATAGCCCCGGCTGCCCTACTGGCCTCATATCAAAAACACTGTCCTGCCCCATGCCCTGGAGCCCTTTGTCATTCAGAATTTATTTCAATGCTCTACAACCAGGAAGCTTATCTACTTATATATTTATACGCCAAAATATTTTTGAATGATGTGCAAAATTATTCCAAGTTTGAAAGCAAACTGCGTTTATTGACTTTCTTGTATCTTCTGTTTTTTATCCTTATCAACCAAGTTGGGTCGAGGAACTCTGAGATGCTTATTAAACTGCATCGCATATTCTATCCATCAAGTTAAGCAAGTAAGTAGAAATTATGTTAAAAAGGAAGCTTCCCCCCAGGAATTGAGATGATTATCAAAGATCACACTTCGCTCTACAATCTTGCTGCAAACCATATGCCACCACATGATCCTTCCTATTGCCTGCAATAAAAAACACTAGTAAAAGCCAAGCTGCAGGTCATGAGACTCAGCTGAAGCCAACGTGAACGTGGCGTTTACCCCGCCTTCTGCTCCAGAGGGCTAGACCGGGATGGACTGGAGAGGGTGTGCCTAGACTGGGCCAGCGAGGCCTGGGGTGTGCCGTCAGGACACGCACTGGGGGAAGCAACACGCGATCTGGCCAGACCTAAGGGGCAAAAAGAAGCAGTATGAGAATATGACAACCTGCAAGCAGAAAATACTGATGTGGTTTGAAAAGTAATCCTCCTTGCAAATCGCTGTGTCTGAAGCCTAAATGAGCCTCATACCAGCCACCCGAGCACATAAACGGGACAGCTGCATTAACAATATAAAATAAACCCAACCAGCAGCTCAGGAAAGGGCCCTGTCCCTCCCTGGACACCTCTGCCCGCCCAGCAACACGCCAGACCCGATACTCTTTCTCCTCTCGACTCCCACACCAACTCTGGGGAGGCAGGAGATGTCAAGGCACCCAGGGTGTCCAGGAAAATGGAGGCTCAGAGAAGACCGAAGGCCTGGCTCCTGCGCGTCGGCTAGGGGTCTTATTCAAGTGATAGGACCAATGAGGACAAGGTCCATCCCAAGCAAGAGTGTTCTGGACACACGTTGTGAAGCAGCTTACCTTCCAAATACATTTTGCTGTCTAGGCTCCTGTGTGCTTTTGGAAGAGGTGTGGAGGAGGGGCGCCGCTGGGAAGAGCCCCGCCTCTGCCGGGAAGCCGCACCACCTGTCAGCACTTCCTCTGCCGAGTTGCTCTTTTCCTCTTCCAGAAAGTTCACCTGAGGCTGCTCAGAGACAAGTCTGTCCTCTGCAAAAAGACCTCTTTCTGGGGAACTTGAAGTGATGTTTCTCAGTGTCCGCAGCAAGTGCAGGGGCAGCAGACTCTTTGCTGGGGGTGGGCTTCTCACTGGGTCTTGAGTGACTCTTTGGTGGTAATTTCGGAAAGCTTTTTCTAAGCGTTCAGCCTCCTGCTCTAGCTCCTTGACCCTGGCTTTAGTGTTGGCTACAAACTCAAGGTCAGAATCAGGGGAGCTGCCATCTGCCTGACTTGTGACCCTTGGGGTAACTGCAACTGCCCGAGCCTTGTCCTGTTCCAGAGGATTCTTCAGGAAATCCCCACATATATCAACATTGGGTGGCTCCATGCTGCTGCTTCGGAATCCACTGATGGGATGACCAATCACAGATGGCTTCGGGTTGCGGTATACTTCACTCTGGAGGGCTGCAAATTACGAACAGGGAATTGGAGATGTGGAGAAAAAGGTGGAGAATACAATTCAAATATACTCAAGATCATATTTTGCAAAATGACAGAAAGTAATAGAAGGACAAGCAGATACATTACTGTTTCTTGAGCAGTGGTAATGATGATAATTAACACTTATTGAGAACTTGAAAGGAGCCCTGGTGGCACAGTGGCTAAGCGCTCAGCTGCTCACTGAAAGGTCAGCGATTCAAACCCACCAGCCACCCCACTGGAGAAGGATGAGGCAATCTATTTCCATAAAGCTTGACAGTCTTGGAAATCCTATGGGGCAGTTCTACTCTGTCCTATAAGGTCACTGTGAGTTGAAATTGACAGCAACAGCTTTGGTTTTTCTTTAGGTTGAGAGTTTACCTGTACCAGCTATGGCGTTATACACCTTCTTCCATAATGTGTGACGTAAATCGAGTTTTAAAATCCAAAAATGTCTGAATACTAAGGGTGTATTCATGATTCGCTTTGTGGCAAAGCCTAGCCAGAACTAAACTCACTCGGCTGAAAAACTTGAGCTAAGGTGCCGGACACTTGACTTATCCCACCCAGAATGAATATTCATCCATTTGATTGTAAAGTAATTACAGTGTCTGGCTAGAGGAAGCCGCCCCAGGACCCTGGGCCATTGGGAAACACACAGTATCCGGCCTGAGTTTCGACAAGGGAATGAGGAGCTCCCTTCCAGCAACACTGGTACTTGGGACCGCTGCTTCCCCCACTGCAGAGATGGGGACTGAGGCTTTCCAAGGCTGGGCCAGTTCACAAGCAGCAGAGTTGCAGAGGTTTCCTACTGTAGAACCAGTGCCCGGGCCTGCTCCTCTCCTACAATGCTCCCTGTGCGGGTGGCATGGTGCTGCCAGACATGCTTAGGACAAGCAATGCATGCTTGGAAAAGGTTCCAGGCAACCTGAACTATTTTTCATGATTCAAGAGTGCTCTGATTTCAGCGGTAGGCAGTCTGGCCAACAGAGTTAATGAGAAAAAAAGAGGAAAGAATACGAAGGAGTAGAAAACAAATGAGTAGAGAATCCACCCCAGGCAGGAAACCACAGGAGGAAGCCAGGGTCCGTGGCCCCAATCCAATTAAGGGGAGAAAGGGAGAGAACCCACCCAGGCAGGAAGCCACCAGATGAACTCAGGGCTGACAGCTGCAACAGGTAGGGGGAAGGCCAGGAAGTAGGCTGAGAGGTTTGGAACAGCTAAGGGAGATGAACT